TTGTTATAATAAATGTAATATTTTTCAGCTAATTAATTGGTCATGATCACTCAAAATTATAAAAAGTATATATTTATTACATTTTATGCAATCGTGATTTGCCGTGTGTACTATTTATTTTAAACAATGATTAAATTTTAAAATATAATACTATTATATAATTTATAATTTTAATATTATATACATAAATATAACTTATAATACTATATGTTTGAAATATAATACAATTATATAACTTATAATTTTTATATTATATACATAAATATAACTTATAATATTTAATTTTATTTACATCTGTGCAAATGCACAAGGTCGAATACTAGTTTATAATCAAAATTGCCTGCATACTTTAAAATCGTGTTTGGAGCAACCTGCCGCTTTAAAAAATGAATGGACAGGCAATATATAAGAGCATCTCCAATGTGAGAGGTTGACTTAATAAAATGTTAGCCACATCATCAAGTTATAAAGTGATTACAAAAATTAATCTCCAATCCATAATGTTATGGACTCTTTTATGCTGACATGGAGACAATAAATATCCAAAGTGTGAAGCTCACTTTCTAGTTTTCCAAAGAGTGTTTGAAAGCCAACTCATCAAAAATCTAACCTATTTTAAGCTTTTGAAATGGATGCATTGGAGATGTGCATTTCAAATTAAAGTCTTCTCTTTTGACATTCATATTACATGGATTTACATTCCATTCATCATTTGACATGTGTTCAAATATAATTAATGTTCAAAGTGGAGCATTGGAGATGCTCTAATAGTAGCGAAATGGATTTCTTTGCGGCATATTTTGGAAAATTGAAATCCACACGTGGCATGCGTTTGAAAGATTTAAATCCACACGCAGGATGTGTAATGAGTCGTGTGTGGACTCTAGATAGCTTGTTAATAAGTTCTCATTTATATCTTTTTTTTTTTTTTTTTCAAACGAACAAATCATCAATTAAAAACCTCAAAATGTACACACCAGTGATCAACTGATCACAAAATTCCATCCTAACATCTTCTAGGCTGAAATCACGAGAGAGGTGCAAACAACTCTCCCTACAAAGCCAACATGGCTTACCCACACTAAACACAAAGACCAGGATCAAACAAGAAAATACAAAAACTAAAACCAGAAAGCAAAAGTGCTTCTAACACATGAAGGAACAAAGAACAAATGTAAGATTTTTTATTTAGGATGAGGACAACTTCTTTGGAATTCAAGCAACAAACTAAGAAATTCTAGCCCAGGTGATAAGCTTCTTCAAGCACCCACCTAACAGCCCATATTGTAGCCTCTGACTTTGAAACCTCAACTCCCAAGCTTATGACCACTCCAGCAAGACCTTGCCATCTTGGACTGCAACATCACTGAAATAAGTTTTCCCCAAAGCAGCCTTATGAACATCGACAGGTAGCACCATCTATCCTACTCCAAAAACAAAGTTATCTACCAAAAAATCTACACACTTGACTGAGGACACCAAACCAAGAATAATTGACTGCACTGGTAATGCGGTTTCAAGCCAGTCTTTCTTTGCTCTTTCCACCACTTCCTGCTCCTGAAATATCTTCTCTCTGAATAAGAAGTTGTTCCCAGCTTTCCAAAATATGCCACAGTAAGTATACAGAAATAGTGATTCTATCTTGTAGCTTTGACGCTCTTGAAATATTGCAAATTTCTTCCTACCAGGTTTTGATGCTCCTACTTTGATCATGCCAAAAACTCCAATCTATCCCCATGAGATTCCAACAAGTTCTAACTTTATGGAAATTCAAAAACAAGTGATCAATGTCTTCCACATTATCCCCACAAAGAACACACTGCATCTACTCCAACTCCCCTTTTCAAAAGCTGGTATTGTACTGAGATAAAAACCTTCCACAAGAAATGTCTGAGCTTAGGTTGAATAGGTAATTTCCAGGACTTCTTCCACATTCTGGTTTGTCTTTCATCCACTTGGCTTGCATTTTGTTTATGAAGACACCCGAAGGTTAGAAGATCTTACACTTTTTTGTCTATTTGCTGATTGTGAGCCAGTAAACTTTGAGGAAGCTGAGCAAAGTAAAAGTGGCGAGATGTGGCTGAGGAAATCAAAGCCGTCGAAAAGAATAATATGTGGGAGCTTGCAACGCTCCCTAAAGGCCACAAAGCTATTGGAGTAAAGTGGATATACAAAATAAAGAGAAATTTAAGAGGAGAAGTTGAAAGATACAAAACAAGACTCGTCGCAAAAGACTACAACCAAAGAGATGGAATTGACTATGATGAGATATTTGCTCTTGTTGCTCGACTAGAAACTATTAGGCTAATAATTTCCATGCAGCTCAAAATAAATGGAAGATTCATCGAATGAATGTTAAGTTAACCTTTTTAAATGGAGATCTTGACGAAGAAGTCTATATCAAGCAACCAATAGGCTACGAGGTAAAAAGCCAAGAAGATAAGGTTCTAAAATTGAAAAAGGCCCTATATGGGTTAAAGCAAGCACCGAGGGCATGGAACAAAAAGATTGGTAAATACATGGAAGAGAATGGG